AAACAACTGATACAGTTTTCGGGGGGGGGGGGAATGAGAACATCTGCAACACTACTTCCATGTAATTCAGAAGTTGGTAGATTCTAAGAGCAATAGCTCCCCCCAATCACATTATGTTACCGTACAAGCTCTGCGTATAGTTTTTTTTTGAACATTTTCAAAAGACAAATCGATAAGAATTTTGAACTAGGGAACGATGCAATGCCTCGAATTTTCAGTGAATAGGAAAAACTCTACACTTGGCTGGACCAATCAATTCAGAAAGACTGCCTCACAGTAATACCCTCTGGATTCAGCAGCAAAAGCTTATTCCAGCTCAGCTAAATTGTGAATGCGCGAGATTCATGCTATGCAGAGAAGTGCGACACTTGCTTCCCCGTTTCTGTGGTTGCAGCTCATTCACCATCTTAGTGTTAGGAAACTTATGACGATGAAGATAAGCAAATCTTCCAGTTGCAAATCCAGATCGCGGTCAACGACCTCCTCAACCACGCGGCTCTCATTTGAACAAAAGTGACGTGTGATGTGACAGCTGTTGTGCAATCGCGACCGGCAAAAAGCTCGATGGCATGTAGGTCTTGGCACGCATTTCTCAGGTCCTTTAACGTTTCGTTACAGTAAGTCAGTGCTGTGCTCGATTGATTTTTCTCAATTGTATGCTTGTGCTCGGTCGTGTCGATTCGGGGTTGGACGTCTTTACGCGGAGCTTTTGCCCTATCCGTCATTTCCTCATAGTTTCGCTAGTGGTGGGAATGCCACTCGTCAATTGTTTGGAGTTACGTTGAGCCTCTGTAGAGCGTCTCAAAAATTTCCGCTGGTGGTTGTTTCCATGCATCTGTCTAGTGAAGGGCTTCGATCCTAGGTTGTTTCTAAACAGACGAGAATGGCGTGTTTTATCCAGTTGTAGTGTCAAGGACATGCTTATTAGATGGAGAGAATAATACGCTAATGTGGTCAAGAGGAAATGTTCAAGAACGCAGTCACACTCACAATTTTATATATTGAACTACTCGGAAGACTGAAATGAAACCTTAGAGTTTCACACTGTTGTTTAAAATTCACATCAACTAGCTCTCGAATAACCAAAGTTTCTACCCTTCTGACTTATCGGACAGTTTTTTCCTCTTATCAAACCTTCATTTCTCTCTGGTACTGTGTGTAAGAAAAGTTTTCAAAGCCTTGTCATCTAAGCTTCAGTTGGAGCGATGGATCTATATTCTCCTACATTACTGTTCTTTGTTTGAGGTCCAAGTTGCGATAGGCGGTACAAGTGTCGAACTTAATATTGATGTTCCTCTGAGAAGTTCTACAAATCAGCCAGTTAGCCTAAAGTTGATTCGAAAATAAAATTATGGTCGCAGTCGGATTTTGATTGCTTGTATATGGTAGTACCTTGAAAATTGCTAACCTTTGCAGATATGGGTGTTAAGGGAGAATCTAGCAATCGAGCAAAAGCTGTTGCAACTGACGATCAGATGCGTCTAGCAAGGCTTACACTCGAAGGCAATTCAGCGGAAGAAGATCCTGCTAACATCCAGAGATTAATAAAAAGGGTAAATAATATATATTTTTTAAATAAAAACAACAGGGAGCATCATAATGCTGGTGTTCCGCACACTGTTCCTATGTGTCCGACGATGCTTCCAATGACGAGACCTTCAGCTTAAACATGGAAAACAGTAGAGGCGAATGCAGATGCCTAATTGTCGACCAAGTTTGCTAGTTAGTGTCATGTTGATCTAGCTGATGTAGAAATCATTAGGTGTAGCTCTTTTATTTAAGTTTAGCTTCGTTCCAATGTTAGTTGTGCACAGATCAGGAAACATTGCATTGCTCGTCTACCCCTCCCCCACCCAGTTTTTTTTTTGCTTTCTTCCATGAGTTGGCGTTGGTATCGGAGACGTGTACAACCACTGTACATGCAAAATTGTGTTAGAAATAGAAAGTATGTGTGGCGTTCGTTCATAATTCATTCTGGTCGTGAATTCACTTGTACGGCTTAATGGATAATCAATCTGATATGTCGTGAAATGTTCGGGTGCTTGCTAATAATGCTCATTACTTCAATCAATATTTTTCGTACAATTGTTGCTTGGGAGAATGAATTTAGTTTACTACATTCGGCAGAGTTCTGAGCTTCTTCATAATGAATATCTTTGGAGTAGTTGGAGGTAGGTAGTTGGTTTTGTCCATAGGTGATGTTATTTTTTTCAAGCGGGGCGGGGGTCGATGTGTGCGAACTAGTTTGCATGTGCAAAACTGGAAGTGCGCAAGTTGCCTTCCTATAAATTTTCATCTTGTGATGCTCTGCAGCACGATGCCCACCCCCAAACTCTAATATCAGCAAACCTCCGTATTTTTGTTGAGATATGGGAAAATCCAGTTATCTACTGTTTTCCCAGAGACTATTCGTTCGATGACGGCGGTCAAGTGATTAGCCTTTCTTTCTGGTATTTTTTTTTAGCAAGGAGAGCCAATCAGTTTTGAAGATTGGCACACTTGTTTGAAATTCGTTTGAGTTAATTTTGACTGCGGTGGTGTTCCCGACAATGAATAGGCAGTGCGTGGGTGCAATGAAAAACAACGTGGCTTGTCGATGCTTCGAATTGTATAATATGATGCAAGCGCTTGAAGTGCAGCTTGAACAAAGTTGTCCTCGCTGCTGATGTTGCTGACTGCCTCTTGTAAGCACAAGGATGAGGTTATCTATTAGGATGGCCCACAATTGCTGAGCAAATTGGCCTTTTCCGACTTGATTACTTTTTTATTTCTCTGGTATAATTACCCAATGTGGTATACGCTAATATTATTGCCGGCATCTTTTCGACGCAAGGGTAGTTCTTACATAGAAGTCCAATGAGCACTGTTTGAAGAAAAATTGCATGTCGAATTTGACTTTGTGGTGATTAGAGTAATTTCTCCTTCAGTTAGTGAACTAGAGAGGGAAGCCGATGGTCATTCGTCGTTCCAAGGCTGGTGCTGCGCGCTGGATCTGAGAGAACTGTCGGCCCAGGGTTTCCAATTTTTCATGAATTTTCTTCACTCGGTGGGATGGAACGACCTCAGAAAAAAGCAGACTTTCTTTAGCCTTGCTTTCATTTTAGGGCGTTACCCACCAACTGCTGACCTTTGTCTTCGTCGCTGACCCTGATATTATCGGATGTTGGTCCTCAGCGCAAAGCCCTTCTCGAATTCTGCCAACAACTCACTATGATCAAATTTTAAGGAGGCTGGCTTTTGCTGCCAGAACTCCCAGACTAGATTTAAGCTAGGCTACTGCCGTTTATTTATTTATTAGAACACTGCACCGAGTTCACTTAGCCAGTAATATGCTGGATGGCCAATAAAGGAACCATGATGATCTAACATGTGCCGATTCAGGTTCAGGGCATGTGACACAAACTTCATATTTTCAAATATTTACGACTCTATGGAGATGTACCTTCAGTGCTGTCATATAAACTAATCGGAAGCGCTTTGGCAAATAACGGCTAGTCTCGGCTAGTGCAGAGTCCTTTTCATTGGTGTTGGTTAAGATAGCGAGGCCGGTCACATGGTGATTGCGAACCATCCTCAAATAAATAAGCCAACCCTGAGAAGAGTGAACCACTGATGCATCGTGGATTAGGGAAGAGTGCTCTGAACTGTCTTCTGCTTGATCGGCTAGTAGGCTGGAAGATCCTAATCGGTGATCATAAAGAAATTTAAATTAGGTTTTGAAGAAATTGGAACCTTGTAGATCCGCTGGCCCGCAAGTCATTGTATATATCATATCGCATTCAGAAGCCACTACGAGTGTACAAATGGAAGTGGAATGCGTGCCGCATCCCAATACGGGATTGATAAACGGCAAAAGCTTTATCCTTATCCTTATCCTTACGTGAAAGGTGTCTCAAAATTATGTGCCAACCTCATAGATAGCAGCAACTGCTGATTTCGGATATTTGGAATCTGTTAATGTATGCATGGGAGTTGTCCCGTATAGATCATGTTTCGAAAAAGTCTTACATGTAGTAGGAAATGCAAGCGGGTTAACGCGATTCTCAACACTCAGGAAACTACGTTTTGTTTGTGTGAAAAAGTCAATTACATTAGAAGTGAAAAAAAACTGTCAAGAAAATCATTTAATTTTTTCAAACTGGTTGAAGCTGAGCGACATGATTTGGACCTCAGTATTTTTTTTTTGCTAAGAACAGAAAGTTTTTCTGCATTGCACAGATTTGTTGTTAACTAGTATATGTAGTGGCACCGTGAGTACAACAATGTAATACATGAAAATTATTTTGTAGGGATATTTTTTCATCTTTGATAAAATGCCACATTCCTCATTGTGGTTATGATTACTCGGTGCAACTTGCATATATGGTGTCTACTATTATAGGTTATCGAGACTACGAGGTGTACACAAGCTCGGGCTGAACTCGCTTTGTATGATAACGACAATGATCTCGCTGCTGCTATTGATTACATTCTGGAGCATGGGTCAGAGATAGAGTCGTGGACTGAACAGAAAAGCAAGAAGGATAAGAAGAAGGAAGAGGAAGAGAAGCGACCTGTACGTGGCCAACCATCTACGCGCGGTCGTGGTGGTTTCGTGGATCGTGGTGGTCGTGGTCGTGGACGTGGTGACGGAATTGCATCTAGAGGAGCGTCTCGTGGTGGTTCAATAAGTGGACGAGGGCGAGGAGCTGCCGCAAATTCTGGTGGGTTCCGTCCAGTTCCATCGAAAACGCCAGGTGATGAATCTGCGATAAAGGCTGTCGATACCGAATCTGTTGATGAAGTTGCGGACTGGGTAAGTACTGTGATCTTTTTTTGCTTTGACTTTTTCTGCGATAAATGTGTTTTCTTTATAGAAAAGTGGACCGATGGTGTTCCATCGCTCAGAAGATGGAGCTGCAGCATCTATACCGAGCTCAAACGTTACCGCACCTCCATCGCAACCTTCAAATGCTCCTCCAGCTCCTATCTCATTTGCCGCCGTCGCCGCAGCCGCTGCGAAGAAAGATTTGAAACGTCAACAACCGCCTCAAGGGGCGAATTCTGTTTCGACTACTGAGCAGCCTGCTCAGGCGCCTGCAGAATTTCATCACGAGGAACCTGTAACGAGTGCTACGCCGGCTACAGTTGATCAACCCACGTCGAAAGATGTGTTTTACAGGTTGGTTAATGCTTCCATCATTGCCTATGAATTTTCTAAGGTTTTCTGTTGTAAATTTATTTAATTTTGATTTTATAATTTTTGTTCATTAGCACATTCGTAGCATTGTTACCCAACACTGGACTGCACCTCAGTGAGTCACTCTCCTGCTTTGGTTTTGAACTCTCGGCGATAATGTATTAACCAGGAACATCTTGAAGCGTAATGGTGGCAGTGGTCTGAGCGCATATCTCAAGTGATAGTGAAAATGCCTTTTTAGGCAGAGGCTGTTGTCTTCGAGTGTGCAGATCTAATTAACATAAGTAGTGGGGCAACATTTGGCAGGTGAAGATCTGAATCTGAAGCAACAGTGCGTTTCAAAATGTAAGGGCACCCGTGAGAACAGCTGTTCTCACGGGTGCCTTTACATTTTATTTTTTACATTGTTCTCTTCGTGGTTTCCATCCTAATTGAATTCAAAATGCTCTGAAAGTGTAGATTAGCCTAATTCAGAACGCAATATGATCTGACATATGAACAAATTTTGTATAAAAATCCATTTGTTTGTAAAGTGCCAAGGCAAAAGAATATTAGTAAAAATTTCTTCCTATCAATTAATTTGCGATCTGTTAGCATTTCAACGAAATCAACCTTCTCTTGAGTATGCCTGGACAATTGGAGGTTACCAGAGAAACGGCATTTGGATGATGAAGTCTCCCACAATATTTTATTACTTGCCATCAGTGCCTGTGCCTCACAATAATTCACATGTTTTGTGCAAGAATTACATTCGTTCGATCAATAGCATTGATTTCGTAGCACTGAGCTAGTGTTTAACAAATCGACGGCAGTGGATGGCGGCGTTGTCGTTGATGAATACAGCGTTGTCATTAATAACCACAAATTCGTGGTGATCTTTGCTTATTGTTAGGAACTAAAGCACATAATTAGCAAGAACATCCTGGTAGGTGTTGGAATTCGTCTACATGGTACAAGAGCAAGAGAGGGTATGGCTTCACAGCGCAATGCACCCCAGTATGTTTGAAGGTCTAACGAAGTTTCCCAGCTGAAGACAACTCTGTTGTCATCACTTCTTCAGCTGTGATATCAATGTCACTTCTTCATCAGACTTTCATATAGGGAAAATTGACTCAAGCTCAATAAAGCGTCAACCTGTCACCGTAATGCAAGTCCTACCTCTGCTAAAACTACGTCCTCTCATGTTCCTTCGAGCAATTCCTGTCGTGTTAATCGCCTAATAGTGGGCAGGGTCAACCGTTCGCTCTATTCGGACGAGGGAGTCGCATTTGCTGATTTGAGAAGGGAAGCTCGCATTTTGAGGTTGGAGGGTCAAATACTATATGAACAGCCATGATGGTGAGGTAGTCGTTGGGGTAGGGAGGAGGGTTGTCGTTTTGGGGGAACCTCGTAAGACCTATGATGGTATAAGGTGAGGTCGCAAAATTTATGGAAAAATGTGGAAGCGATGGTTTTCCCTAGACATGACCCCTCACGGTGCGCTCTCGCAAAATACTTAGAGTTGAGTCTAGTTCTCTAGATGGTATTCAACCCTTGATGCGGAAAGCGAAAACTCATGTCTGATGGGGCTGATTTACGTGGTAAAACCGTAAAGCGATTGCTGGATATGACGTCCGCCGTGATCGGATGATGCTTGTGACTTTGAAAAGATTCTGTTATCTATGAAAAGCTGCATCTCTCCTTTCACAGATTGTAAAGGAGCAACCACAGATCGTGTTGGTGGGGTAACACCAGTCAATAATGAAAGTGTGGATGCCGCACTAACTCGAAATGGGGAAAGAATTAAAGGAAGCCGCCCATGAAGCTCTTGATCAAGTATTCCCCCTCTTCGCTTTGGAATGAGGGGTGGGCGCGTCCGGACGGGTTTTCGGATTTGCTTGATCCACCGGCTCTACTAACTCGCCGTGAATCATCCACTATGCCGTAATTCACGTTGCGTATCATGGAATGTGTGCGAGGTACCTCATCTAACAACTAACTTGAGCTGTCCTTGCTTACTTTGAAAGGCACTAGCGTCATTGTCTAGCACATCCGAGCTGCGACAAGGGCAAATTTGCAATACTCGTGCGCTCTTTTGTCCTAACCACACTACGGATTACTGGAGTTGTTGTTTTAGTACAGCCAGGAGATCGGCCACATAATCAGCAGTGAAGTATGTGACCTTCGCACGTAGTTGTTCCTAAGTAGGAAGCTTAAATTGTCCCTCGTTGTTGGAAATGGAGAGAACTGTTGTTTCGATGCATTTTGAGTTCAATAAAGTAGGTAACAAGCCACGAACTCTTCACCCTAACTCGGAACAGCTCTTTGTTCGACTTTTGGAACGCGATCTTTTATCGGAATCTGGATTAGTAAGTTGAGAGTTTTCGAGCTTTTCAAGAAGTCTTTCCTTGGTTAGACAAGGAAATTTTTGCTGGGATCAACACAGGTATGCTGTGGTTTGGCAAACAGTTTTCTTTTCATCAGTTTTCAACCTGAGGCTCGATTTTTTCGGCATGTTTGTTGTGTAGGTTCGTTTAAACATTAGGTTGCTGAAACAGAAATCGCATGGGCGCCAATGTGGCAAAAAAATTGGGCACTATTCGCTTCTTAACCCTTTGACGACCGCGCGCTCTAAACGTGTCTAGCGTGTGGGACTGCACGCCAGACACGCGTGTGGCCCGCCGGCGGGGCATACGGTCCCAGGGGACCGCATGTTTGCTCAATTATAACAGCATTGACTAAACTGCAAACTTTCTACAGTAAATCATCTTACTAATCAACCATACATTCTAACGCAGACAGACTATCAGCGAAGTAATGAAGAAGACTAATGAAAAAGACCTCAGAATTTATAAGTGTTTTGATGGTACTGTTGAAGTAGCAGTCACTAAAAACAATTTGTTTTCTTGCAAGAAACTTGCATTCAAAAAATTGACTAAATTTTGACACAAATGCTTCTTCCAGCTTCTTTCTTTAGCTAGCATGGTGTCGATAATAACTAAACTTATTCACTAGACGGTTACTACCACACGCCACACGCTGAATTCCAATTTACTTCGATGGGAACCTTGGGTATGGTTAGGGTTTTTGAAGGCCTGCAGCACCTGGTAGACCTCTAACTTTTACTTACACCTTTATTTGTATTAAACCTACTTGACAATATTTTTCACAAGATCAAACAGTTGTCGTGCAGCCCGCAACGAAGAGGTCCTATCGACCCAGTCATGCAAGGAATATTAGTAGTGGTAGAAATTGGCACAAGGACTACTGCTCCGATTTTTCAAAAACTGCTGCGTGCGCTGCATTCTTATTTTTGATATAATGATGCTATTTTTGCTGATATTACCGATAGAAGTGTGCTTGTTACTATTGTCTTAGGGTTTCTCCTTAGAAGAATGCAATCAGTGGACCACCTTGTACATAGCGTTTTTAGGGCAATGTATATATATTTAGTCATTGAGAATTTCAAAAATGTCAAAACGGAGGAAATACAAGAAATTGCTTGCCATGGCCCGCCGGCGGGCCATACGGTCCCACACGTCCGACTTGGTGTGGCCCGCCGGCGGGCCATACGGTCGTCAAAGGGTTAATGCCCCATTCCTCCAGAACTGAGCCAGGTTTGTATCGAAATTTGCCCATGACTGTGGATTCGGGTAGAAACTTGCATTCACGAATATCACATTCGTTCACCGCTAGAACGCCAGGCGCTCGTTTTTGAAGCACCGGCGCCAAAAGGCGCTAGAACATCTCGGATCACGAAATTCGCTAGAAACTTGTCTTCAGAGGTACTTTAACCCGTAGAACATGAATATCACAGTACGTTGCGTGTGAGCCTGCAGCCAACGGTTTTAATATCACATCGGTTTAGCGCGACAATGCTTGAAGCCCGCGTACCATGGGCCAGCGCTCCCGAAAAACTGTTGTGATAGCGCCGGCGTCTGGCGCGCGGGCTTCAAGCATTGTCGCGCTAAACCGATGTGATATTCGTGTTCTCCGGGTCGAAATACCCCCGGAAATTACTTTCTAGCTAAATTCATACAATTAGTCATGGACGAAGTCCGATCAAAATCCGGCTAAGTTCTTGAGGGGAGGGGCAGTAAAGGGTAACTTAGTGCCAAAATTGTTTGCTGAAATAATCATCGGGCCGGATCGAAATTTCAGGGCTACACCAGCTGTTTTTAGAATTGTTTTTTAGCGTCAGATTTCTCTCCAAAGAAATGAGCTAGGGAGCGGAACAAATGATTATCCGTTGACTTTAGGCCTGTGAGGGGAAGGCGAAGGACCTTTCCGCTCGAAAGTCCCAAGTTTTCATGACTTCTCTTTACCATGTAGGATCAATGGACTCAGAAAAAACCTTGGCTATTATGTCTTTAACCGCTATGATCAAGCTGTTGACGGCTAATTTACGCATTAGTTGTGGCAGTAGCAGGTGTTTCCAGCGCACATTTCCTTCAATATTCCTTAGAAAATTGGAAACAAAAGCAGATTGTGCGAGGTTGAATGCCGACATACAAAACTAGTCCAGTGGCGATTGTAAGTTTGTTTGTCGCGATTCCGGAGTGTCAAGTGGAAGGAATGAAGGGGAGGTTGAAAGAAAAATGGGGAAGTCAGATCCTGTCTGTTGTTGGACCTGGCTCAGCGCACTTGGAATTCAAATGATTTTCTTTTCAATTTCACGCGACCACCAGAAATGCAGAGGGTTGACGGCTGCGACATGGTTGACTCATCGGAAAATGATGAGCCGTGACGAAACCCTCGAACGGTCTCTCGGGAATAGAGAAGTTTTTTCAAGGTTGGGGATACTTACAATATTGGGCCGATATCTTCACCTGCGTGGGGTATGGCCCAGAGCTTAGATGGTCCTTGAGTTTGGGGATATGTCCTGAGTTGGGATCTGTCCATAACGTCAGAACTCATCCCCGACGCGGTGAGGGGACCCATCTTCGGCGGAGGCCTGCTGCACTCATCGTCAGTTCAGAAGTCGCTGGTATGAAATGAAAGGTATAAGTATCACACTCACCATCATTTGGGAAGCCCTTTCTT